ATAACAATCTTCCAACCTGCTCTGCTTCTAGAAACAAGTTCTCCCGTCCTTATTTCCTCTGGCTTTGCGCAGCATGTGCTGCCATCTTTTAACTAGAATGAAAGAATGTTTGAACGTGCTTTCTATGGCCAGTCTAATTATTATATGATAAACCGACTTGCCACACTTTCCCCAAAAGTGTTGGGGGTAGTTCTGTGGCCAATATGGCGACCCTCTAGCTGGATAACATGATTGCAGAGCCAACACGATGAGGTGAGTTATAAGTTATAGGAAACAAAACTTACAACAAAACTTAGATAACATATTAAAAGCATAGTTGAAGGCTTGCAGAAAACAAGGAGAAAAACATTCGTAAACCACAACTAATACCGCAGAGCTGAGATTTTGGAATCTCACAACAATAAACACGAGCTAGAGTTCACAAAATAAAAGTATTTTACATTTCTCTTTCTTACCCCCATTCCACCAAATTAAGGAAACATACTTTAAAATATTTTCAGTCTATTGGCTGACTCTGAGAATGATCATTACTTTAAAGATAAATACAAAAATAAGTATGTATTTGTGATTACTAATTTATGGAGAACTTTTATAATCAATAAAGTTAAGTATTTTGTATCTGGAAGTTGTTTTATTTTTTTTAAATAGTGTGTTGTACTTTTGGTTACTAGTTTCTATTCTCTAAGGTTGTGCAGCTGTGAACTTAAGTTTTATTTATTTATTTCATGAAAAATGGCTGTTTAATGCTGATACTTTGTCTTCCACAGATAAACTGTTCATCATGAATGTTTGTATGCTCCTGGATTTGTACTGTAAAATAGCTGTTATTTATTATGTTGTTATTATACAAACATATTTCCAAAATGCTAACATTATTCAAATTTTGGTTAAGATTTTTTCTTTCATAAATTTAAACTACAAGTATTTGTTCATCAATTATTTTATTTAAATGGTGGGTTCACTTATGTAGGGTTCCTCGATGGTGCTTTGGAGTCCGGAGAAAGTGTATTATTTTTCCCATCCTGCTGGTCCTCTTGGTGGGTGCAGCTTTGACATCTCTGCTGCCACCCGCTGAGGACCATGGAGGGGTTGGTGTTCTGGACGTGCTGCGCAGGGCAACGCTACGACAGGAGAACCACTCACAGGGCCGCCATGCCGACAGCTCCGAGGACAAGTTTACCGTCATCATTCAAACCTACAATCGCACAGACATTTTGCTGAAGCTCCTGAACCATTACCAGGCGGTGCCTCACCTCCAGCTGATCATTATAGTCTGGAACAACATCGGGGAGCCAACGCCAGGGAAGTTGTGGGATTCTTTGGGTCCCCATCCGGTTCAGGTCGTCTTCAAGGAACAGAAAAGCAACCGGATGCGAAACAGGCTGCAAGCGTTCCCTGAGATTTCCACTGATGGTCAGTTTAACTTTAATAGATCCAATGCAGTCCATCATGTCAATATATTGTTATAGATATTTGAGTGGTTTTGTCTTTTAGCTGTGCTGATGCTGGATGATGACACTCTCATTAGTGTTCCTGACATCAGTTTTGCTTTTTCTGTGTGGAAGGTAAGAAGCATTATCACCAGCAATGCAATATTTTTTTTATTTTAAATGTTAACAATGTGTAACGATTATCTGTTCATGCACAACATGAGTGTTCTATTTTATTTCATTACCTTTCTCAGCAATTTCCAGATCAAATTGTTGGATTTGTCCCACGAAAACACATTTTAACTCCCGGAGGAGTGTACAGCTACGGCAGCTTCGAGCTGCAGAATCCAGAAACGGCTGGAGGTGACATGTAAGTTCCTCTCTTTTGTTCCTCAGGTGCTGCTTCTTGTTTGGTTTGGTCTCATTATGATTTACTCTTAACTGCAGGTACTCCATGGTTTTAATTGGTGCTGCTTTCTTTCACCGCCGCTACCTGCAGCTCTTCCAGGACCAGCCTCAAGCGGTGCACGCCTTGGTGGATGAAACCCAGAACTGCGATGACATCGCTGTGAACTTTGCTGTAGCTCTGTATTTAAGAGAACACTCCGAGGCGAGTGCGGTCGACAGACCCGCAGGCATCTTCGTCAAACCCGTGGATCTTCGCAGTCTTGAGAAAGATGCCAGAAGTGGATACCAGGGAATGTGGCACCGTCCCGAACACCTTCTCCAGAGGTCCTACTGTCTGAACAGACTGACGCAGATCTACGGCCTCATGCCGCTCCGCTACTCTAACCTGATGGTCTCTCAGTTTGGTTTCCCCAGTTATGCCAATCATAAAAGTAGGGGTTGAAAAAGTGCCAAATTGCTGGTTTTGAGGGGGGAAATGAGAGGCTCCAAAAGAAGTCTGGTGTGCTTGGTTGGTAACACGTCTAAATGGCAATCAGCCAATATCTTGTCTGACCTGCAGATAGTGCCTGCTGAGGTTTCTGCACCTGAGGAGTGCAGAAACTTTAAAGGCATAATGCAATCTTTTTGTGATATTTCTGTTTTACATTTATGGGAAATTTCATGATATTCTTCCATACAGTGACTGTTTTTAATGCTCACTGCCAAATTGAATAAACTGTCAATATTTGATCAGATATGAAAAAACAGCACACACAACTCTCAGTGGATGTAGTCCCTTGGAACTCAGCAGGTGCTGCTTTTGATGTTTTTTTTTATCTAGTTTGAAAATGTGATTTATCAAGTAAAAATTTTTCTTCCCTTTTCCTTACAATGAACATAACTGTTCTAATTTAAAAAAAATCCCTACCACAGTTATGAATCTATGAACCTAACTGTGTATTTTGTATGTAGCTAAACAAATTTTGTGAACAAGGCTATGCATGCAAAGGCAATCATTTTTGTTATGAATGCATATGTTTTGAAGTTGTATTGTGCAAATTGATCTAATAAAGATGCTTATTTTTCTCTGAAAATAATGGATGGGATTAAACTTATGTCTTTATACAAACATTTGCCTTTTTCCCGACCGAAGTAAATAATTAGAAATGCTGCTTAATGTGTGTTTTATTTCACCCATTTTAAAACCTGGCAAGGACTTTTTATTTCTTATGATAACTAGCATTTTAGTTGTATGGAAAGGTGAGCTTATTTCATATAACTGAAAAGGAGCAAAATGCCATTATGGTCTTGTTAAAAGTTCAAATCTCAGTAACATTCAGTCAGAAAACCCATTGATAACTTTGGATTAAAAACTGTTTATTATTGAAATATAACATCCCACTCAAAAACAATGAATAAAAGGTCTTTGTAAATCCTAAAAATTAAGTTAAACACTGTCTCCTCCTTTAGATGTTTCCAGGGATTTTACTGATGCCCAGGTCCTCCACTATCTGACCCAGATCCTCTGGAGCCGGATGAACGTGCATCATGCCACAGCTTCACAAGAGGCTCCCTCTTTGTCCATATTAGCTTGTGACCATACGTCACATACCATCTGTAAGACAAATTAACATGACTTACAGTGGTTTGCAAAAGTATTCATACCCCTTGAACTTTTCCATATTTTGTCACATTACAACCACAAACATAAATATATTTC